GTAGGGCATAATGATTCACAGCTTTAAATGCAGACAGAAGCTATTAAAAATAGGGAAAGGGGAAAGATTTTTACCCCCCCCCCCCACTATCTGGGAAAGTGACAGGACCTGTGGAGTTTGCAGAGGCTCAGGCGCGTTGGCACACTTGTTGGCAGGAGGTGTTTAGTGAGTTCCAGGAGGCAGGAGTGGAGCTGGGGTCAAAGCAGGCAAATTCCAAGGTTCCCAGGCAGGCACTTGCTGGGGCCGGGAGGGCGGGCTCTGCCTGCCTCCGGGAGCCAAGACAGAAAGCACCATGGTAGCAATAACAATAGCAAAATAGCAACAGTGTTAATGGTGATGGCCGTCACTGACGTTTATGAGACACTCACAATGCATGTGCCTGCTGCTCGATAACATGCTTTACCTCAGTCAGTTCATCATCTCATAACCCTACGAAGTAGGCCCTTCATTTCTCCCCATCTCACAGGCAAAGAAATGCAAGTTTAGAGATGTGAAGTTGTGAAATAATACGAAACATATTTGGACTCTGCCCCCATTTCCTGGCATGCAGCTCCTAAAGCCCTTGGAATCTCCCCAGTAATAAAAGAGTCTTTGGTATGCTAATAAAGTGACCGTAGCTGGGGGCTTCTGGATAGCCTCAGGATGGGGGCTGGTTGCCATGGGAACCGAACACCCAGGACTAGAGGTTTGGAATTTACAGTCCCTCCCTCACCCCACCACCCCCAGGGGAGAAGGACTGATGATTGAGTTGATCACCAATAGCCAATGATTTAATCAATCATGCCTAAGTAATGAAGCTGCCATAAAACCCCCAAAAGGACAGGGTTTGGAGAGCTTCTGGATAGCTGAACATGTTCCTGGAGGGTGGTGTGCCACATCCCTCCCACCTACCTTGCCCTACGCATCTCTTCCATCTGGGTGTTCCCCAGTTGTATGTTTTTATAATAAATGGGTAGATGTAAGAAAAGTATTTTCGTGAATTCTGTGAGTCATTCTAGCAAATGATCAAACTTGAAGAAGGGATTGTGGGAACCTCCAGTTTATGGCTGGTTTGGTCAGAAGCAGAGGAGCAGCTGTACTTACAATTGGCATCTGAAGTTTGAGGGGGGACAGTCTTGGGGACTGAGCCCTCAATGTGTGGGATCTGATGCTACCTCAATGTGTGGGATCTGATGCTATCTCCAAGTAGATAGTGTCAGAATTGAGTTAAATTTAAGGACACTCAACTGGTGTCAAAGAATTGCTTGATATGGGAATAAGCCCCCCCCCCCCCAGTAAATTTTTTAAGAATGGTGGGTTTGTTTTTTTTTTCTATTTTCCACACTGGCCCTCCCCTATCAACTAATCACATGTTAATAAGAACATTCCATGCACAAGTTTCTGTCTCCAGCTTTGAAAACTGGTTTTATCAGATCAGATGAACTATTGGTTTACTCTGGGAATCAGTGATGAAAAAGGTTTCTTAACAGTCTGCTGAGCTGTGCATCATATTCCCCCATTTTGGTCACAAAAGTGTTCTGGGTTGAGTGAGTATAAGAAAAGGAAAGTTTGTTTTTCCTATACATAAGTAAATTTGTCAAAGTCTTAGCTGTAAGTAAAAAACTTGGGCTCCCCACCTGGATGTCTGGCTCCAAGCCACCACACTTATTGGTAAGCCATTCTGGCGTTAGATGGCCTGGGCTCAATTCCATTGCTGAACTTGGATAAGTGGCTTGATTTTAGTATCTATAAAATGGAAATAATCATTGCATTTGCCTAATATGGGTGTGGTAAGGATAATATAAGGTAATTCACATACATGTGGCAAATGATGACTAGCACGACCTATGCACTGACTACGTTTTGGCTGACTCATGCTGAGTTCAGCCCCAGCAGGTTGCTGGCTCACGCACCTCTGTTTAGGCAGCTCTAAGCTGGCTTCTGAGATCAGTTGCATAGGTCAGACTCCTTTTCAGGAAAGAAAGGCAAGGACCTCAGAAGTGGAAAGTGCCTTTGCCCATGCATCTTCTGTGTGCACTAGGTTCCTTCCTCCCTCCTTAATCTTTCCTTTCTTCTTCTTAGGCTGAACTTCGGTGCACCGAGTTAGACCTGGAGCAGAAACTCAAGCTGAATGAAAATGCCATCGCTAGGCTCCAAGCCAACAATAAATCTGTCTTGGTAAGGCTGGTCTGGGTCACCTGTCAAGCTTTAGCACACCTGGCTGTCACGAAAGGGTCAGCCAGGACCATTCAGGGTTGTGGGACATGGGGCTGCAGGCCCAGCCTCCACATCTATAGGTTACTGGGGGTTTCTCAGGAAGTGAGAATCATAGGTACAGTTGGCTACACCATGGGGTAGGCTCACTTTGATGTCAGGATTTGTTACGAAATTAGTTTAAATTTCAAAACTGGCAAGTGATTTCCCTTTTAATAATAAAGAGTAGAACCAAGACTAGTCCTGTAATAAAAGCAGTCTTACTTTTATATTTGTACAATCTTTCTTGACCAGGAGAAAAGGGTGTGTATGTGTGTGTGTGTGCTGGGGGGTGTGTTTTTAGCCAGATCTCCAGGAATTACATATAATCTTGGTTTCTTCCATCATGGGAGGATGTTCTGCATGTGAGTATCCACAGCCCTGTGTTCTGGCAGCTGGAAAAAAGAGTTGAGAACTTCTGGATTAGTGGATGGTATTTGATAAGGTCAACGGTGTGCTAAACTGTTCAGCTTTAGTCACCCTGGTTTATGGCCACTTTCCAAATAGAATCTAAGTAGATCCAAGCAGTTCTACAAATGCCTATCATTAGTGGCAAGCCAACACCACTCAGAAGAAAATGCAAACACCTACCCTACGGCAGTGAGTCAGCACTATCACCTTTGTATACTGAGAATGAATAATTCCATCCATCCATCCATATCTAATTCATGTATCCATTTCAACTTAATTTCCACCTCTTGGGTGTTTACAACTAACTAGTTGCTGAAGGATAAAATATTTTTCTTAACCACAATATCTTCTTAAAGGAGGAAAAATAATTGTCCCTTTAAAGCCTAATAAACCTTCAGAGATTGTTAATTTCCCTGCTCAGGATGATCTAGAGAACCACATGGAGCATCTTGCCTTTTTCCAGCTCTTTGATTTTCAGACCCTTTGACCCCTACTCAGTTCTCATAATTGCACGGTGACCAGGGGAAGTAGTTACTGCAATGGCCACCATGTACAGGGACATGAAAACATGAGAGATGATGAGACTTGTCTAGGGCACCCTAGATTGATGGAACAGGAGAACCTGAGGTTGTTTCTCCCTCCGCCTAAGAATAACTTAATATGTTGACATGTGCACCATCCTCAAATCTTTAAACTATTAACTATTAGCTACTTTGATAGATTTGTGGCCCCTTCTCTCTGTACTATTTAATTGCCATCATTTGGGCAGTAAAAGGTATGCTTTGCACATTTCATTTACATGCAAGAAAGAAGTATTTCTCAATCAGAAGGTTTAGGAATGAGAGGTCACAGCAGGAGCGAATCCACCAACATAATTTGAGGGCCCCCTTCCACCGTGCTTCAGGATGGCCTCAGTGGGGGTGGGGAGGAAGGATTTGGATCCTGAATTTTGTCTTCAGACTCATGCTTCTTAGCCTCATGGCCTCATGCTTGTATGAGGAACCTGCATGTCCTAAGTATGGGGAGTGCGTGGATTCCGTTCCTCTCCCACGACACCCTCATGCTGCTTCTCGTGCCTTGTTGTTCTGTTCCTGCTGTCTGGTGGTGATCAGGAGTGGGCAGGGCAGGGAGCACCGCTGGCCTCTGTGACTCATGGAGCATGGACACCTGGAGCCTGAGCGGGTGGGGAAGGGAGAGGAAGCAGGGAGCTGGAATGGGCTGCTTAGTGTGAAGCCTGGATAAGACACCAACAGTAATATTCCCCTTCTCCCCACATGGTTATAAGCAAAACCAACCTATCTTCTGAGGTAGATTTCTCCGTCTCTGTTTCTTTGCAATATGGAAATACAGTTGGACACGGAGATTTAAATCACAGTATTCACAAGGTCAAGGAGGCAGCACCTGTCGCCAGCTGGGTCAGGCATAGCTGGGTCAGGCGTTGCTGGGAGGCTTGCCGCCTTTTTCTCTCGCTCACCTGCTCAGCAGCAGCCTGGTATTTAGTCCATTATGGGTGTAGGTGGTGCTCCTTAATTGGTGTACAGCGACCAAGGGGCCAAGTCCTGTCCCTTCTCTGGTCCTTCCCAGGGCTTCAGTCTAGGGCGCTGAGCTCGTAGGTTCTCCCCTGCAACCCCGACAGGCAGCAGAGGGTCCTCATCCCTGGGCGACTGGAAGGAGGGAGGGAGGTGAGGTGTCAGAGGGCTGCTGAGCCTGCACCCGGCAGAGCCCCTGGCAGCAGCTGCTTGGGTGGCCCGGGTGGGGCCCAGGCCGCTTCCCTGGCTCTCGGGTCTTCATTCTTCAGACCGTGCTGTGAACAGCCGAGAGCCCCTTCTCCGCCAGCCTCAGTCCCTGTGGTCGTCTCCGCGCACCCGCATCCTGTCTGAGAGCTCTCGGAGCAGCCCGAGGGCCGAGGCCCAGCCCTGAACGCCCAGGTGTCCCAGCGTTTCCCAGCCGGCTCTCTGCCGCCCTCGCTGCTCGACACGACCGTCCACCTGACGGCTCTTCTTGGTTTGGGCTTGAGGAGTTCGGAGAAAACCTGCGATCTTCCCTCTTCCTTAAGCCTGTCACCACCGTTTATTTGCTTCCAGCTGTCCAGCCACCCAACCTCAAGGAAGCCAAGGGGTGATGGGAAAGTCAGCATAAAAATGCGAATGTAGAGAGAGTCTGCATATCCTCTGTCCACCTCCCTCCAGCAAAGATGCTCCTTGCTTTCTTTCCCCGCTCACTTCTCCCTTGCCGTCAGGTCAAAGGCTGACCGGAGACTGCTCCTTCTTGTGGGGTTGCGTTCCTGAACCGTGGCCTGAGCCAGGGTCCCCAGCCCTGCAGAGGTCCTCCTACTTGGTGTCATCCTGTCTTCCTCCCATCTCCCTCCAAGCCACATGGCTCCCACACATCCTGGGCCTAGGGTCCTATCCTTTGTGAGTCTTCTCCTTACCACGCTCCCCTGTATTGTCTGGGTCTTATTCTCCCTCCCTCCCTCCTCATCTCCCCCTGACAGGGGAGGGGTTGCCCCTGCAGCCTCTGCCCAGGGGATATCTGTTGTTTTGGCTCCCTTGGGAGCCTTGAAGTTCAGGGCTGGCCCTTAACCTTGGGAGTAAGAAGAGAAAACAGCACCTGGAGGGGCTGCTCAGAGAGCTCTCTGATGGAATGGGGGTGGGCAGGGACAATGGGGGAGACTGAGGCAAGCAGAGAAGGGGCTTTGGGCTGTGGGCTGAAGGTAAAGGGAGTCTGAGCAAAGGAAATTGTATCCAAGACTTTTACGTGAAATTTAACAAGGTAATTAATGTAAGCACAAGGAGATGCAACTGGACAATATCAGAGGCAGCTGTCTGCACCAATACTTAAGAACGGTCAAAGAGAAGAGGGAGACACTTAGAACTTGGATGGATGTTGTAAATATGATGTTGGTTGATGGCATTCATAAAGGATGCTCATCATATTTCTGTCACTATATTTTATTTGAATGAAGTGTTCTGTTCTGCACAGATAAGCTCATCCTGCGATTGCTTGGGTGCCGTGGTCATCTATACACACCCTAAACATTTTGCCTAGCAGAGCACCATAATCTTAGATTGCTTTTAGCTCTGATGGTCAGTTTAACCAGGCATAATGAAATGCAAAGAACGCTAATTCATGCTCCTGATATGTAAAAAAAAAAGCCAAATTATTGATTTACCTTCTGATATAAAACTATCAGGTGTACTGAATACAGGCATTGTCCTGGTGGGAAAATTGATTTCAGAAACTTGGTTAACAGCCCCAGACTGTCAGAACTGGAAGGGATCTCAGAGATCTTATAGTAATTCGCTCTCTTATCAAATGGATGAGGAGACTAAATTAACATTCAGTGAATAAGTTCTTATACGCTGGAGAGTAAATCCCCTTTCCAGGAACCCAGAATTTGCAGAAGAATAGAAGCTTCCTCTTACAATAGAAAAGGGTTCCCTAATTAACTGGTTTCTCAAGAACACGTTTCTGTATGTTGAGCTTCAATGGAGTTGGACACCTACTAATAGGTTCTTGGCTGTCTCCCATCTTGCCCCCGTCAGGTGTCGGTGTCAGAGGTGAAGGTGGTGGCCGAAGAGCAGTTTGGGGAACTCCTTGCTGCTGTGAGGAAAGCCCAGGCTGACGTGATGCTCTTCTTGGAGGAGAAGGAGCAAGCTGCTCTCAGCCAGGCCAACAGCATCAAGAGCCACCTGGAGTACAGGAGCGCAGAGATGGTGAAGAGCAGGCAGGAGCTGGGGAGGATAGCGGCCATCAGCAACACGGTCCTGTTCCTGGAGGTATGGGGAGGGGGCATTCACGAACTGCACCTGGAGCACAGATCTGTGAATGCAACTGCTCTGTGATAAATGGGGTGCACGGGGAGCTGTGGGATCAGAGAGAAGCAGGTCTTGATTTAGCAGAGTACAGGAGGCGTAGGAAGGGTGGACTGCTCAGAGCGGGGAAGCTTAAAGCAGGTCCTAGGAGATGAGTCAGGTTCAAGGAGCAGTATGTTCCGGGCAGAGGGAACAGCACATGCAAAGGCAGAGAGGTTTGAGAAAGCCCAGCTGAGTTGGGGAGCCAAGGCACTTTCACAAGGATGGAGCACAGGGCGCTGGGCACATAGTGGTAGGAGTTGAGGCTGGCAGGGCCAAGCAGGCATCTGGCTGGGAAGGATGTTAGGTATGGGAGTGATGAGAGCAGATGAATATGTTTTATAAACCACTCTGGCAGTTGTATGGAGGCTTGCCTGGCAGGCGTGAGACTGAGACCTGCTGCTTTTCAGGGAGGACTGTGTGCTGGGATAATTGAAGAAGCTTGAAGGCTCAGCAGAGGAGATGGAACTTTTCTTTTTTTATATATATATATTTTGTCCTTTTTGTCTTTTTTACTGACTGGCAACGGGATCGCAACCCTCGGTGTTGCGCCCGCACCGCGCTCAGCCAGTGAGCGGGAACTGGTCTCCACATGGGATCTGAACCCTCGGCAGGAGCGCCGCTGTGCTCCCAAGCGGCGCACTCTCCAGCGCGCCACCGGGCCGGCCCAAACTTTTCATCCTTATGTATCATTTAGTGATAGGCCATTAGAGGCAGATCTGAAGAACACATAAGCTTGCAGAGAAGGAGCAGTAGGTTGCGGGTAGATTCTGTCATCCTGGATCAGTCACTAAATTGCTATGCAATTTTTAGCAAGTCACTTAACCTCTCTGAGCCTCAGATTCTTCATTTATCAAACAAACAGTTTGGAACGATTAATTTCCAAGGCTCTTTCCAGCTGTAATGTTCCAAAATACAAATAATTTTTCTTACATTTTTGAAAAAATTTCCCTTTTACTTGCAACGAATAGAAATATTTATTGTGAAAAAACTTAGAAAATACAGAAAAATATGAAAGAAAAAATAACCCATAATCCCAGCACTCAGTGACAACTATAGTTAACCTTTTAACAATAGTTAACCACAGAGAAAGAGAAACAGACAGAAAAAGACAAAAATATTGACAGGATGTCTCTCTCTGTCAGTTTCTTGGCTTCTTAATATTAAAACACAGAGAAAAATATGGATAAAAATTTGGTTTCCTGTGTCATGAGATCTTCCCCCAAGATCTCCTACCCAAAGAGTATAATTTCTCTTGGTTATCTTTTCTCCTTTTGTAACTTTATTTTTAACATAAAAACTTTAATATGTATAAAATATATTTTAGTATAACTTATTTATTTGGTGAAATATAACTTATTTTCCCCCAAATAGTTAGCCAGTTGAAACATCATTTATTGAATAACCCATTCTTTCTCCCACTGATTTAGAATGGTACTTTTATCAGCTACTGTATCAAATCTATAGATAATACTATAATGTTTATCTGATTTTCTCTCTGTCACCTCTGTGGTTTGGAGTTTTTTTTTCTCATCTATGGATCTATCTAACCATTTCGGTTATTTATTTATTTTTTGGTGGCTGGCCAGTATGGGGATCTGAACCCTTGATCTTGGGGTAATAAGGCTGTGGTCTGACCAACTGGCCAGCCCTTATCTAACAATTTTGGTACAACTGTTCTTATCGCTAAGTTTTCTGCTGTATCCAGTCTGCTCTTCAGTGCTTCGGTTGCATCTGAATTTTGGTGATGTGTTACATTCGGAAGTAATCTTTTCTGATTAGCACATTGTTTTAAAACTTAAGTGGCTTCATGTAATTATCTATGTGAAAACACTTTTCAAATTCTGAAGCACAGTACAAGAATTACAGAAAGTTATGTACTGGATTGAGTTAACACGGAAAAGGCAGCATTTCTGTCTGGGAATTGTTTGTGGATCTCCAGAATGCTGCAGCCAGTTCCTCTGTTCCCTACCATGGCTTGGGTTTAAATCATCAAAGAAAAAAAAAAAAAAAAAAAAACAGGAATGTTCTTATTCTCCAGGTCCCCAGTCTGGGCTGTCTGTGTACCGGAGCTGTTCACAAGCCTCCAGTATCTCAACTTCTAGAAGCCCACTTTCCCACTTGATTTTTAAAAGACTGACTTTTTTAGGGTGTAGCAGCATAAAAAGTGCATTCTGTGTTATCAGCCCCTGATCTGAGCGCTTTACAGACACTTTGTGAAATGCCCGTTACTCTCGGCCCTTTTACAGATGCAGAAAGTGATATAAGGAGAGTAGCCCAGTTTAAAACTACAGAAACCAAAGTGAGTTCTGCCTCCTTTTCTGCAGGAGTACTGCAAGTTTAAGAATGCTGGAGACAGCGCCTCCCCCAGTGTTTACATAGGGCTAAAGGACAAGCTCTCGGGCATCCGCAAGGTCATCACGGACTCCTCTGTGCACTTAATCCAGTTGCTGGAGAACTACAAGGACAAGCTCCAGGAGTTCGCCAAGGAAGGTGAGAAGCTTTCTGGGCCTGGCAAGTGGTAGGTGTGTATCTTGGAGTGGTTGATGGGGAAGGTGAGAGAGGGCCAGGGAAGGGAAGGCAACATCAGGGGGATGTCTCATTTTCGAATCCATCGTTTGGCTAGGCCCTGTTACTAATGGACCCTTATCTTGATTATTTTATTTTACAAAAGAGGCGCAGAGAAGTTAAGTTAGTCATGTCGTAGAATTGGCTGGCATTTCTGTGACCAGCTTCTCAGGTTGCTGATGTCTATACTTCAGGTGAAATCCAAGTCAGCCTGGGATCTTTTTTCAGCTAATTTTGCCTTATTCAAGAGGGAAATGTGGTCACTGAGCGTGCTCCTCTGAGATGTTACTAGGCTCCAGCCCCTTCTTGCCCCGGGAAGCCCTGGGAGGAGTGGCTGGGTAGTCCTGCCTCTCAGGTTGTCCTGGCCACCTGGGCAGGTGTGCACTCACAACTCTTTTCCTTTCTAGAGGAGTACGACATCAGAACTCAAGTATCTGCCGTGGTTCAGCACAAATACCGGATCTCAAATCCTGAGCCCAGCACGAGGCAACAGTTCCTCCAGTGTAAGTGGTGATGAGTTTCCCTTCCCCGGTTGTTTATGTCAGTGTAAAGCTTCGCTGAAGCCAGGACACCATCTCCCTGTGGGATTCAGGTTCACGCAGCCTTGTGTCTATTGCTAAATAATACACTTCTTAAAATTTAATGTTTAAAATTTTTTAACTTTTCATTTGGGACTATTTTAAAATTTACAAAAACATTGCAAAAATAGGACAAAGAATTCCCATATACCTTTCAGTCAGCTTCTCCAAATGTTAACACTTTACATAATTACAGTATATTGATCAAAATCAGGAAATTAACATTGCTACGATGCTATTACATAGTTATAGAATTTATTCAGGTTTCACCAGCTGTTCTACTAAAGTCTTTTTTCCTAGCCCCAAATCCAAGCTAGGATCACAGATGTTTCCATGTCTGCTTAGTCCCCTTCAGTCTGGGTCAGTCCCCCAGTCTTTCTCTGTCTTTCATGACCTTGGAACTTTGAAGAGTCCTGGCCAGTTACCAAATGGTTCGTTTTTAAGTTGGATTTGGCTGGAATTGTAGAACCCATTGTCCTGTCATTATGTGGAATTGACCTGGTCTGCTAGCATTTTTAAAAACACTATTTCTAATAAATACTTCATTACAGAATAATTTCAAAAGATCTATTGTACAACATGGTGACTATAATTAGTAACAAAGCATTGTATACTTGAAAATTGCTAACAGTAGATTTTAAGTGTTCTCACGACACACAAAATATCGATAATACATATGTGAGGTAATACATATGTTAATTAGCCTGATGTAGCCATTCCAAAATGTACACATATTTCAAAGCATCATGTTGTATACCATAAACATATACAATTTTTGTCAACTTAAAAATTAAATAGAAAGTACTTATTATAGTCAACAAGTCCATGAGGTTTTATCTCCGAATAGAGAAATGACTGCACCTGTGCAGTAATGCTCGTTTCTATGGCATCATTTTGGAACATCTCGTTGAACCCGGCTTCTGCTTGTTTTCTGGGGGTGATGCTGGCTGACTGACTCTTGGACTCTTTTTCTCTGGCTATCGTGGGGCCTCAGGTTCCAATGTCTATTCCCTGTCCTTGCCACAGCTCCTGTTTTTCCCAGGACCTTTTGGCTTTGACATAGTTTCCTTTATTCTTCCTGCTTCCTGATAGAAGCACATCTATATTTTACAAACAGACATAATACAAGAACTCAAATACCTTTTATTCTTAACTAAAATAAGAATTAAACATATCTTATTATAATCTATTTTCTTTTGTATCACAAGTGTCTTTTTTCACACCTGATATTAACTTTTCTCTGTTGAGAATTACTATGAATTCTTAGCCTTTTAAAGACTCAGATGTTTGAACTGCCAAAGTTCTGTGGCTCAAATTGCCAACTTGAACTGTGGGAGTCACTTTCAAGCTGGCCTCTTTCTCCTTTAAGCATTGACATTCTGCTCTTGATATTTTTAAAAGTATTGTAGCTTTCTGGCACTGACAGAAAGTTCCAGATTCATTCTGATTTCTTTGTCCCAAGACACAGAATCACCTACCCTCCAAGGAGTACTGGATCTCCTTAGAGGAGACTATTGTTGCTGCAAATATGAATGCTTAGGATTGCCAAAAGTTGGTTGTAAGCAAACGTGCTGCCACTGTGCTGTTGGGCCACTTTCAGTCACACAGAGCTACAGACTGTATGCCTCATTTTTCCTTTTAACTTATTAGATTGTTGTGTCCTTCTTTTCTTCCAGGATGTGTTCTTATTGAACACTAAGAATTTTTCTTATTTAGACACAGAGAAGTTTGGTAAGCTCTGGTTAAACTAAGAGAATTTTTAAATTATAGGATTTTAAAAATAGCTTTTAATATGCTAATTCATTTGGCAAGTATATACTGAGCATCTTCTTTGAGCTCCATCCTCAGGAGAGTCCCATACAAAATGTGGAGTTTATAGATTAGAAGGAGGTCAAGCATGAAACACACAAATGAATATATGATTGCAAATTGTGATGAGTACCATGAAGTTTAAAAAGCCAGCGTGCTCTGAGAGAAAGCGATTTAGAAGCCATAGAGAGCCTCTCTGAGGACACAGACTCTCAGTGGCAACTGAAAGAATCAGGAGGAATCAGCCAGACTCAGAGGACAGCAACTGTCCTGTCGTGGAGGAAGCAGCCTGTGTTAAAGCCTTGGGCATTGAGTGGGTCTGAGGTCAGGATGACTGGAGTGTGGCAATCAAGGGAAAGAGAGCAGGGGACACAGACAAGGGCCAGTCATGCAGGGCCTTGTAGGCCAGGGCGAGGGCATCACTGCTTTGTCCTCAGAGCAAGAGGTGCCATCAAAGGGTGTTAAGCTGGGGTGACATGATTCACCCTAGCCTGTACCTCAAAACAAGCACCATGGCTCTGTTGTGGAGAAGGTATCAAAGGGGAGCAAGAGAGAGCAGTGCAACCTGCAAGGGGCCTACTGCACCAGTCCAAGCCAGACTGGCTGGTGGCTGGAGAGAAGTACGGGGGATCTGCAGGACTTGCTGCTGCCTGTGCATGTGGGGAATGAGGGGGATGAGGACAGGGCAAAAGAAATGTCAGAAGTGACTTCATTTGCCTCCAGCAGCTGGGCGCATGGAGGTGCTGTTATTCCCTGAGACTGGGAAGAAAATGTGTTTGAGGGAATGTCTGAGAATTCACCATGCTAATTATTGGTCAAATATTTTTTAAAATGCATGAATTGATCAAATGTGAGTATATGAATACCTATATCCCCAAACTCTTGCCAACACCGGGTAGAACAGTACCTAGCTTTCAATACATATTTGTTGAATGAATTAACAAGTAAATTAATTTCAACAAATAATATAGTAAATTTCAAGCAACTTGAGCTTCAGAAAGGAAGAAAGTGGAGTGGCTTGTGTTCTCCCTGTTTTCTGGCCTTCACCCTGCTCTCTTCCTAGAGAACAGCAGCCTGGGTAGACAGAGAACAGGGAGATGGATATTTTCTTATACACACTTCAGAGGCTGCTGGGTTTAAAGTGCTCTGTCTGAAGGAGCTGTCAGTTCCTGAACTACTCTTCCTGCCTTCTGTGTCTCCTCAGATGCGCATGACATCACGTTTGACCAGGACACGGCCCACAGGTATCTCCGGCTACAGGAGGACAACCGCAAGGTCACCAACACCACTCCCTGGGAGCATCCCTACCTGGACCTTCCCAGCAGATTCCTGCACTGGCGGCAGGTGCTGTCCCAGCAGAGTCTGTACCTGCACAGGTACTATTTCGAGGTCGAGATCTTTGGGGAAGGCATCTATGTTGGCCTGACCTGCACAGGCATCGACCGGAAAGGGGCAGAGCGAAACAGTTGCATTTCTGGAAACAACTTCTCTTGGAGCCTCCATTGGAATGGGAAGGAGTTCAAGGCGTGGCACAGTGACACAGAGACCCCTCTCAAAGCTGGCTTTTTCCGGAGGCTGGGGATCTATGTCAACTTCCCAGGAGGGACCCTTTCCTTCTATGGTGTAGAGTATGATGCCATGACTCTGATTCACAAGTTTGACTGCAAGTTTTCAGAACCAGTCTATGCTGCCTTCTGGCTTTCCAAGAAGGAAAATGCCATTCGGATTGTAGATCTGGGTGAGGAACCCAAGAAGCCAGCACCGTCCTCGGTGGAGGCTGCTCCTTAGACTCCAGGATCCATATCCCAGACCTTTGCTAACCACAACGATGGGCTGCAGCTTGCATCTTAAGGGTGACTTGGGGGCAGATGTTTCTCCCAGTGGTAGCTGGCTTTAGAAATCATGTGGGTCTGCGAGTGAGGAGAAAGTTCCCCGGCTGCTCTCTTGTGCTTCATGCAGGTGCTGTTCTCTATATATTTCTAATCATGCTTAGGTGCCAGTCTCCCTCATCATCACAGGTGAATGTCACACTGTGGTAGTTTCCCAGGGGGGAGGGGGAAATCTGGTATGCACAGGGATGGGGAATAGGTCTATGTCCAGGACTTACCCCACAGATGTAGTTTGTTTAAGCAAGAAAACTCAAAGCTCATATAAAAGTAACCATTTAAGTGTCTCCTTACCTGTCTTGACCTTCACTTCCCTGTGAGATATTTTTGTCTATTAGTTTTTAGGTTCAAGACTTTTCTTCCTGTTATAAAAGATCAAAGCAAAATTAAGAATGAAGTAATGCCCTCTTTTCTAAGAGCAGGACCTATGCCACTTAAGATAGCCCCTCCATTGTGTGAAAGTTAGGCGGGAAAGTGGGGGTGGGACGGGAGGAGCTCTGCTAACTGCAAAATTAGCTCATGTACTGTTGGCTTGCTTGCATTGGCTAATACCTCTTGGCACGGTGACCGAGTTGCCGTGCTTGCACCTTTAAAAACCAAGAACAAAGATGTTTCAGGGCCGCACCTTGAATTGGCTGATGCGGTCCTGGCCGCTGAAAATAAAAATCTTTTTCTCTTTTTCTATATCAGTCTCCAAGGGTGATTTTCTCTTGATGCCTACAACGAGAATTGGGTATATTTGCTTTCTTTTTGTTGATGCATCAAGTGACATACATATCACTTTTCTTTTTCTTGGTCTGAAAACTAAAAATTGCCTAAACAGATAAAAAATAAAGAAAAAAAAAAAAAAGAGAGAGAAAGAACAAAGGCCTATTGTTACCCACAGGCCAGGCCGGGCTTGCCTTCTCGCATTAAACAAATGACCTGAAAGTCCAAAAGTTGATGCAAGGATTGGAAGGTTTATTCAGATTACCAGTACTCAACTAAATGTCTAACCAAGCAAACAAACAAATAGAAAAGAGGAGCAGTGGGGTCCAGTTTAGCCTAGTCCTAATCAGCGGGGCCAACCTGTTCCATTAACAGTAATTGATAAAAGCAGTGCTCCCCACTGTTTTCAGCATAAAGAGAAGTATCGATTAGATTTAAATGACAAAAACAAAGCATAGCCAGGAGCCTCCAGCGTGCACCTATACAGATGTGGATACAATCCAATCAAACAGAAGAGGACTCAGAAAATCAGGAAAAGGTAAAGAGAATAAAGCACTGCCTTGTCAGAGGTTAAGCCAGAGACTCCAGGAGAGAGATCTACCAGCAGCAGAGACATGGGAGCAAAATAGTCCCAGTGGCCACTTGCCTCTTGCAGCTGGAATCTTCTCTGGTGCCCAAAACTTTCCAATTTTTGCCACTGATTAAATTAGGCTCTCGGATTCCAGAGTCATAGAAATAAACAATGTACCCAACAGTAAAGCAAGCAACGGCTTTATTAAAAGAGGAGATAGACTTAGGCATAAGGAAGGTAGCGACAGTAAAGCTAGCCCTGAGGGGAGCTGTTCAGGGTCTTTTATAGGGAAGGGAGTTAAGGGGTGCAGGCCAGCGTCACTGGAGGTGGTCCATTCTGTTCTTCCTGGTTGCATCATGGGCTCATACTCAGTAGGCAGTGGTGTTCATCATTGTCACCCCAGGAGGGTCATTGTAGCAGTCACCTTGATGCTTTGTGTACAGGTGGGAATTCCTAAAGGGGTCTTAAGGGTAATCTGTGACTTTTACAATTATAGTAAACAAGCCTGGGGGAGGGGATTTACAACTCAGTAAATATCTGTTTCCTCTCTTATCTCAGTCTATTTTGTCAGGGCAGCCCATGGGGTAATCATTTGCCCTGAGGGGTCTCATGAGTGAGGAGTGGAAAAGTCACAAAGTGTCCTCTGCAGGGAAAATGGAGTCAGTTTGGTTCACAGGCCTAGCCTTACTCTGTTTCACTATTTTACATTCTCTGACATTTCCCCAAAGCTGTGTGTGTGCCACTCTTTTGTGCTTACCTACCCTTATCTCCTCCTGCATTGTGTAGACTTGTTTAAAAATTAAACTAAACAGAAACCTGAGCTCATCAAGAGCTCCTTTTGGTGCCGGGTGGTGTTTCCCATTACTAGACCATTTGTGATCGCAGAGTCAGAATGTAATTTTGTTACCGGACTCAGGTGCGGCTGCCTGCCCCCTTGAGAAGGAAAGAAAAAAGAAACCAAAACAAAAAGCTCAGAAGTCAAATGGTTGGTATTAGAAAAGCAGATGTACTCAGCTGAAGGAGATGGTAGGCTGTCCCATCTCAAAGATTTAGATATACTGAGCGGTTTATAAAGGAGGGGTTGAGGGAATGGAATGTGGAAGGTGAAAAGCAGGAGAGCAGGAGATGTGAGTTACGAGGGGTCCATTTCTATGGGTCAGGTACAAGGTCTTGCCAAGGCCTTGTCTGGTTTCTGTGTTCACGTTCGCTGTTATCTCAGGACCCTGCAAGATTTTGATTTGTGCTGGTGTACTTGGCTGGTGCCCAAGGTCAGCTTCCAGTTGTTTGGCCTTGATCATTTCTTTAAACCTCTACCAGTCTCAAAGAAAGAACCCTTAGCTTTGCAAAGTACTAATTAGCTTCTTGGCCTTGTTTTCTTACTTAACCAGCAAGATAAGAAAGTCAGGGGATGGGAAGAAAGAGTGGAGAGAAAAAAAACTGTCCTTTTAAAAATCCCACCCCCCACTGCACTGCCCCTCCCCACAGCCCAAGCGGGTTTAGGTCCCAACATGGCTTCAGTCCTGCTCACTCCAACAATTCTAGCCACTACGTAATTTATGCTTTAACTTTTTGAAATCCAAGAGCATATGGCATTCTCTTCCAGGAATTGTATGAATTCTGAGTAAATTCCCATATTCTCCCAAGATTCATGATGAAACCAATGAGAAATCAATATTGGCCCAGTCACGGAGCCCTTATCCTTCAGTCTGGCTCAGCATGTTTTTGGAATGATTGTCTTCAAGTCAAACTGATTCAACATATGTGGTACTTGTAATGTGCAAGTCACCGTGCTAGATGCTAAGACAGAGTAACCCAGAAGACAGGCTGATTTAAATTGAAATGAAAAGTGCTCATACGTGAAGAGCTAAACGGGATTCTTCTATTCAAGACAATAATAGATGAAGCGGTCTATGGAACGAATTCATCATTTCTGTGTCCTGGCTCGCTGCTTCAATGTTAACATGTTCTGGGACCATTTTCAGTGACTGAGTTCTGTATGGTGTCGGTGACTGACGTACTCCCCGGTTGCTCCCCATCTCTACAGCCAGCTGCCTCCATCCCAGGGGCCACTACTGCAGCTCACAAGCCTTAGATGGAAGATGGAAAGAAAGGTTAGTGTACACATTTTCTGCTTCTAGCTCCTCCAGATTTCGACACCAACTCCCCTCCCTCTGCACCCGTGATTAGATACCTCGGTGGCAGGGCAGGAGGCCTTGCAGGGAGGTTTGCTGTATCATATGCCCCCAATACCCACATGCGGGGCACAGACCGTGCATGGTGCAGGTAGAATACTGGCTGTCCAGGCTTTGCTTGGACATGCCTAGTTTTTATCTCTATTTTTGGCTTGCTTTGTAGTCTTGTTGAGAAAATCCCGCCATTTCTCAGAAGGAAGGAAGCCAGGTATGAGAAAAGAGAACGGGTCATTTAACAAGGATTGAGGGTCAGTCCAGCAGTGATCAGTCATTTGAAGTTAATTAACATCTTTTCCCCAAAGTTAATAACTTAAGTATTGACGCTGATGGTTACCTAGTAAAAGGTGTGTCTGAACATACTCATGCTTTTATGTCTTATATAAAAAAATAATTTTCAGGGCTGGCCAGGTAGCTTACTTGGTTAGAGTGTGGTGCTGTAACACCAGGGTCAAGGGTTTGGATCCCTTTTATGGCCAGACACCCCCCCTAAAAAAAAACCCAAAATAAAAAATAATAATTTTCAAAAATCCTACTACGCCATCACAGTGAAATGGCAACTAATCCCTTATACATGTCAGAGGCTTTGAGCTATAAGAGCTCAGTGTTTGTTGCCTTTTCACATTGCAATGTGCTCTGCAGAAGTGTACATGGGAGCACTTTGTCCTTTCTCCAGACCCCTCGTCTCTCCTCCTGCCGCTTCTCCATCTTCAGTTCAGTCAGTCAAAAGGGTAATTTTGAAGTGAAATTTTATTTTTGCACAGGCTGCTCCAGGACTTATGCTGTGATGTGAAGGCATTCAGTAATTCATGGTTATTTCTAAAGTGAAATTACTTTCACAGATTTTGAGACATAAGCATAACTTAATTCCGTGGTTCTCAAAGCTGGTTTCCCCACCAGCAGCATCAGCTTTGCCCCGAACTTGTTAGAAATGCAAACTCTTGGATCCCCAGCCCAGACCTACTGAATCAGAAACCCTAGGGCTGGGGCCCAGCAGTCTTTTTTTTTTTTCTTTTTTAACTGAAGCATAATTGATTATACATATTAGTGGGGTACAGAGTTGACTATCAGTATGTGTGTACAATGTGTGATGATCAAATCAGGATAATTAGTATATTCATCATCCCAAAACGTACTCATTCTTCGTGTCCATTCACCAATTTCTCCCCAGTCTCCCTCCCGCTCCCTCGTCCCCCTGTAGTCACCACAGTTCCCAATGGTCTGTTTTAACAAGGCCTCTGGAGGATTCTGATGCACATGTAGGTTTGAGAACCACCGGTTTACATCTGTCTATTCTCTTTAACCTGTTCTGCTCTTCACTTGCCAATAGCAAGCGCCTGTGAGTTTCAGTACAAGCAGGAAGACGTTTTCGGCCCCTTCAGGTGTCCCTTGGGGATTCAGCTCAACTGGGAACTGTTCTGTGCTCTCTTAGTTCTCCCCATTCTGCATAATAAAACATTTCTGGGCAATGCCCTTGTTTCCCCACCTGCTCCTTTTTGAAACTCACTAATTTCCCAAAAGCTTTTCTTATTTAACTTTGCCAACAAGGGTGAGACCACATTGTGGGAAGGTGATGGACAAGACGTCACAGCTCCTTCATGCTCCCCAGTGATAATAACAATACCTGTATAGCTCTTCACTCATGTGACCCAGACAGCCACCTGTGCACTTGGTGGGACTATGATCTCCATTTTATCTAAGGGGAGAAGACAAAGAGTGGTCGGTGAATTATCCAGGGTGCTATGACCTGAATGTTTGTTCCTCCAAAGCACATATGGAAGCTTGATCCCCAATGTGGCAGTGTTGAAAGGTGGGGCCTTTGGGAGGTGATTGGACTGTGAGGACTCTGCCCTCATGAATGGATGAATCCATTCATAGATTAATGGATTAATGAATTAATGGATAAGTGGGTTATCACAGGAGTGGCACTCATGGCTTTATAAGGAGCCCTTTCAGCCCCGTCATGTGATACCCTGTGTTGCCACAGGACTCTATAGAGTCCTCATCAAGAACAAGGCCCTCATCAGATGCTCCCCCTTGGATCTTGGACTTCCCAGCCTCCAAAACTGTAAGAAATCAATTTGGTTTCTTATAAATTACCCATTTTCAGGTTTGCTGTCATAAGCAACAGAAAACTAATACACAGGGATATGAAGCAGAAGCTGGTTCCATAGCAGAACCCAGCTTCATTCCATGCCCCCCAGCTGGTGGCCAGAGTAGGTGGCTGCAGAGCTGGAGGGCCTCTGGTGCAGTGTCTGGCAGAGCAGCAGGGCTGGGTGGGGGTGATGCATCGTCCTACCCAGCCAGCAGCAGCTGCATATTCCAGGCTTCTCCCTAACATTTGGGAGGGCGGGAAAAGCAAGTGGAGATCTGCAGCAGTGTGGTGAGGGGGTTTCTTCAGGATCGTGAATAAAACAGGGCAGAAAGGAAAGGCAGGGAAGTAGCATAAAGCCTTTGGGCTGCCCATAGCCTGGATATTTAAGAGATCTCCAGATGTACTTCTCATGCCCAAAGCCTTCCTCTGAGAAATGTTTTCCTCCACTGGAAGCCTGTCCCTCACTCTAACCAGACCTATTTGCCTGCTGCCTCTCTGGGTACCAGCAGCACCTCTTCCCCACCACTACCTGTCCCATCTGGTCTTCCTGTCCTGCCCTCCACCGAGTCCACATTCTCCATTCTGACACCAGGTCCCAAATGGCTCCACCTTCCTGCCTTAGCCGGGCACGTGGCCTGACCATACGCAAGGTGAAAGAAAGTGAGCCAAAACGCTGGGTACTGATCAAGCTTTATTAAAGGAAGAAAATCTGCCGGGCTGCGCTCAAAATGGAGGGCAGCACCAGATGTGGGGGGGTGGGAGAGCTTATATGGACTGATACAATCAAGGAGGGGCATTATGCTAATGCGGAAGCTATGCGACCAGGGTGGAGATCTACAACCAGGGTGGAGATCTGCACCCTTGCAGAAGCAAAAGGATCTCTGTTTTGCAGAAGTCAGGAGGCTTCTCATAAAGAGAAGGGGGAAGGGGTTTGGTGGTGGAGTGGAAGACAAGACCAGCGGATATTTTGTGCTTATTGTGTGCACAATGTCGCCGGTCCTGTCCAAGATCCATCACAAGGCACAGTCAGCAAGGGGTCAGTGAGGGTCAGCAAGGGACAGTGGGGATCAGTGGAGGTCAGCGAGGGTCAGGGGGGTCAGCAGGGGTCAGCGGGAATCAGTGGGGGTCAGTGAGTGTCAGTGGGGGTCAGTGAGGGACAGTGGGGGTCAGTGAGGGACAGTGGGGGTCAGTGAGGGACAGTGGGGGTCAGTGAGGGACAGTGGGGGTCAGTGAGGGACAGTGGGGGTCAGTGAGGGACAGTGGGGGTCAGTGAGGGACAGTGGGGGTCAGTGAGGGACAGTGGGGGTCAGTGAGGGACAGTGGGGGTCAGTGAGGGACAGTGGGGGTCAGTGAGGGACAGTGGGGGTCAGTGAGGGACAGTGGGGGTCAGTGAGGGACAGTGGGGGTCAGTGAGGGACAGTGGGGGTCAGTGAGGGACAGTGGGTGTTGGAGGGTCAGCAAGGGGCAGCAGGGGTCAGTGAGGGTCAGCAGGGGACAGTGGGGATCAGTGGGGGTCATCGAGGGTCAGGGGGTCAGCAGGGATCAGTGAGGGTCAGCGGGGGTCAGTGAGGGACTGGGTGTTGGGGGGGTCAGCAAGGGGCAGCAGGGGCAGTGGGGGGGCACGGGGAGCTGCACTCTCTCCAGCACTGGCTCCCCAGTTCTCAGGAGGTCACCCTCGCTGTCTTCCCCAAGCAGTTTAGAAAAAGTGGCGCTGAGTGTGGAGAGGCTACACTGTGGCTCCCTGCTGTGTGAGGAGACTCAAGTGTGCACGGGTGTGTGCTGAGGGGAGGGTGTGGAAACTGAGGCTGAGGTCCACGTGAAGAGCTGGGCGGTGCTGAGTCAGTGGCCAGGGCGCAGAGGCCACCACCACGCTCCCTTATATTCACTCATGCAGTCCTCCCACTTCAGCACCTTGCAGGGTAGCGACTTTCCTGTGTCTTCTACAGATCAGGAAATGGGGGGCCGGAGAGGACTGAGCAGCTTGTCCAAGGCCACAGGGCTGGTAAGAGTCGCCATGAGCTTCCAGCTCTTCCCTCTCACTCCCAGGTCTGTGCCGCCCTACTGGGCCGCAGTCACCCGCAAATGTGGAATAAGGGCCAGGTGGGTGGGTAAAACTATCCTAATTTATTCGAACCTTTAAAAACAAGCTACTTTTAGCCTGTAGCACTTCCGGGGGGAATGTGTCCCCCTTACACCCTCAGACTTCTGCTTTGGACCTTCCTTCTCTTACCGCCTTCTTTGTCAGGCCTTCCTGATGAATTTGAGCTTCATCCTCTCTCACCTTTTCTCCAGATCTCTCTTCAGGTAGAAGAAGGTGAGGGGTTAGAACTTACCTCGTTCCTACCCTGATTCGCACCCCCCACCCTGAGCCCAGGATGTGACAGCCATTCCCCCACGTGGTAATTGCCATGGCCTTTCTCTAATTGTGCCTGGTCTTCAGACATGGGCACCAGAAATGCATACAGTATTGCAGACCTCTTGGGTTTATCCGGGATGATAACAGTAACAATAGCAGCAACAACTGATCTCATACATTGTTTCTAATCCTAGAAAGAAGCTAAAATATGTATCTGCCTTCATCTCATCGGTCCTCATGGGTAAGGTGGAGAAACTGAGGGATTTTTATCACCTTATAACTGAATAGCTATAAACATCTAATTTTATATTCACGAATATTTAAAAGTCATTAATAACAACAACAATTAAAACTCAGTATCAGGCTCCTTGATATATTTTTTCCTTTAAAAGGTGTCCATACATTACTTAAATTTGACTATCAGTGTTCTTGTTCTAGAAATGAGATGACCAGCTCTTTCAGAATATACAGCAACTGCCTCCACATATTCAGTGCCAAGTTTAGGAGATTTACGGTAAAGCCATGTTTCCATGGAGGTTAGTACAAAAAGCCAGCCTCCTATAAACAATTTCTGGAAGACATGAGCTTTTCATCCATCACAGCCATTTACTTTTTCTCTGGGAGATGTTTGTAACAGAAAAGGCTTATTTGGGATATTTATCCGTTTCTCTTGTTCCTCTGGCTTTTGGTGCAGTTGCTAACAGGCACGGATGAAATGAGCTGGTTATCTCAGGATTATGGAAAACCTGGACTCAAGGTTCATGAATGCCCCCTATTTTCGCTGTGAGGAGAGAAACGATTCGGTCCCCACGTGCCAGAAGTGTGAAACATGTATCTTAGCACGGAAGATCTTCTCCACCAAAGAGTGGTTCCAAAGCATCAACGAGCTATGGCAGAGGAGGTTTCTAGTGAGCATTCTGGAGCAGTTAAAGAGCTCATATTTGTTACACTATTTCCAAGATATCCTTCAGACCACACAGGGAAAGGATTTTCTCTCTAACCGGTACAGGATCAGCCTCAGCAAGAGGGAGAGGAAAACTGTGAAGTCCTCCTTGAACCAAATGTTGGATAAAACAGTAGAACAGAAGATGAAGGAGATCTTGCACTGGTTTGGCAACAGCACCCACTGGACTAAGACAAATTACACTCTCTTGCTGCTGCAGTTGTGCGACACCCAATTACTGCTCACTGCTGCCAATGTGATCGGAGTCCTGTTTCTGAGAGAGCAGAGCAGTATCTCAGGTAAGCAGGGCCACAGGTAGAGACCAGGGGATCCCTAAAGACCAGGAGTCTGTAAGGAATCACAGCTGTAGACAAGCTTAGGTAGGAAGGATTGTCCAGAATTAAGGACCAGGTTCTTTGAACTGACACCTACTCCTGACACCTGATCCTGTTTACCAAAGAAAAAATTGCTGAATGTGATTTCCTTCTAGAAAACCGTAAAAAGACAAATGCAAGAGGAAGTAGAGGATTTCTAACTGTTGAGCATTTAAAATGGAGTACTGCATCCCTGAGGCCCAGATATGGCTGCTCCCCGCCTCTGACCACGTAATGCCGGTTTCATACTTGCCTTAGGGATGGGACTGGGCTTGGGAGGGATGTAAGGGGAAAGCTGCTAAATTGTTTTGTTCGTCAGTTGACGTGCACAGAAACCAGGCCAAGAGGTCAAAACTTAGGGATTTTTTTCCCATTCATTCTACCCTATTTCTTGCTTATGCATAATACCAAATCTTGGAAGAGAGTTTCTCCAAAGCTAGAGCTAGCTAAAAGGCCAAATACGTCTAAGACAGTAGTTCTCAAACTGTTTCAGAACTCCAGGAGGGCTTGCTAAGACACAATTGTTGGACTCCTCCAGCAGAACTTCTAACTCAGCAGGTCTGAAGTGGGGCCTGAGATTTTGTGTTTCTAACAAGGTTTCAGCTGATCCTGCTGTTGCTGGTCTGGGGACCTCAAGGTGAGGGTGTTAGTGAGAGAATCTTTGAAGTGTTTGGCCAGCTGGTTCAGGGAAGCAAGAGAAACTAGAAGGGAGGCCCAGATGGGGGAAACACAGGGTTAGCTGTGGGTTTAGTGGGAGAGGCTGGGAGAGGGTGCTCATGTGGGTGAGTTTTGGAGTTTGAGCTCTTGAAAGTGAACTGAAACCTGAGTGTGGTTATATGTGTACACTAATGGAATCCAAAAGAATTTTAAAGCTGGATGACCTAGGGGGAAATTAGATCCTGATATGTGTCACTTGGTTTCTTTTGTGTGTCCGGGGATATAGAAGTATGATAATATAGAATGAAGAAGTGTCGAAAAAATTAGAGAATCCCAGGGTGTCAAGACTATAAGTTAAAGATCAGTCTAGCTCCTTAATTTTACAGATAAGGAAACTAAAGAGCAGGAAATCTCAGCGACTTGGTTTAGGTCACCCAGCAGATGGGTTGAAAACCAGGATCCTCCCAACCCCTCCACTTGAGCATCTGAGCATCTTTGTCCGTGTGCATGCTGCGCTCCCGACAGGAGAGGGCCTGGCTTGTACACACATGCAGGGCTGTATCCTTCCCTTTCAAAGGCTTCACCATGCACTGTAGGAATTGGCTATTTATATAGGAGTTGTATAATTCCAGTCACAGGTTGTGGCAACCTTCCCTTTTTCCTAGGGGAGTTTCTCTCATAGAAAGTTAAAATTTCTGGGCCGGCCCGTGGCTCACTCGGGAGAGTGTGGTGCTGAGAACACCAAGGCCCCGGGTTCGGATCCCATATAGGGATGGCCGGTTCGCTCACTGGCTGAGCGTGGTGCTGACAACACCAAGTCAAGGGTTAAGATCCCCTTACCGGTCATCTTTTTAAAAAA